CTTAAGCTTCTCCCAGGGGTAAACTCTTTATTTTTAGCCTCACAACTAAGCTCTCTCCTCTAAGAAATCTTTCATTGTTCAGGTTTGTTGTAAGAAAACCATCATCCGAGCCAAAGCCACACGACAGAAGCATTTCCCAATCCAAATCAGACAGGTATCGCACTTTCGACCTAAGCGTCTCCCTGCCATAAATAATAGAATCTTCGAATTTACTTCTCCGTGAATCAAGTCTTGGGACTTTATACCAGCGTTTAGGCATCGAATAACCCTTGGCGGTGCCCGACCCCGAACATTCACGTTCACTCTTGAACTCCTCTGCATCTTTCATATTTGTCTTGATACAACTCCCAAGTGTCCACTCTTGTATATAAAATGGTTGGTTTAGCGGGTTTGTTTGACGTTTAAAAATCTTAGATTTTTTCGGAAGGATTTGGGGTCCGGGTTTTATCTGTGATAAGTCAGACTCAGTAATCAAGAGGAAATCGGCGATAGAGGATTAGCGCAGTTACTTTTGGCATAATTCTAACTGGGATGATGAAACCAATTCGAATCGATTGCCAGGTAGCGCTTATGAATATATATACGTTACAGGTATGAATCGAAGTCAAGTGCTAGTGTAGATATATAACACCAAATAGAGTGAAACGTTAAGTACCCGCGGACGGGCTAATGTACGCATTCCACATACAGGGCAATACACCTAGTACCTGTGGCCAGTTCTTAGGGCTGTACATGCCATTTAAATTTGTACATCCGTCACGACTTAGCGAGCAAGATCTCCAAGCCATTAAGTTGCTGGGTTAGATAAGCGCAACTTAAATGGCCTAATAAGTGAGACCGCTCTCAGATTCTGTCAAACCCAAAGACACTCACATTTTTTCAACGGTCACAAAAGTCATCGGTACATCGGGGTTCAAGTCAAACTACTTACATATAGTGGTATCTAGAGGTCATCTCAGCTATACCTACATACCATACAATCAACTACCATTATAAAATTTGCGACCTTGTTTGGGGCGCGCGCAACTGCAGCGCATTTCAATTCATCCTGTCTAAGGATGCTCTACTACTTGTTTCCAGGATATCCTGTTCACTAGCGAGTGCGTCCCGACATTCTGACCGTTTCCGCCTGGTGAACGTTCTTGATCGAACTGGACACTCTCCTGCTCATTTTGAATCACCAATACCACCTTCTAATGTCACGAATGGACCATTTCGAGATATCACGTGACCGTAAATATACTGTTTCTGTTTCCTACCAATCTGCTTTGCCCTAATCCTGGTCCATTCAACCAATCAGGGTCAAGCTTCAAATCCTGAGTCTGATTCTCACTTTCTATCATGTTTGATTGGATAGATGTGGCCTAATGGAAACCCCCCCGCCTACGTGGTCCACAACGTTAACGTCTTTGTGCATACATGTAATGTTCTTCACCGCCCAAAGAGCAGAGTGTCTGCTACGTGGAGACATCCTTACAACGATTACCCTGAAAACGGCATTGGTGCGCAGCACGAAGACCTTCCACCGGCGAACAAGATGAAAGTTTAAATCGGAGGGCGCCCCGTTGATTGAACGTCTACCGAAAGGAGTGACCAGCCCAAGAATTTCTTGAATAAGGCGCACTCGTCGGGTTGGCATTGTATCAAACCTGCACTCATCCGATCACCTACAGTGATTGGTTACAATGGACTAATGCGCGTATGTACCCTATGCTTACCTGCAAAAAGAGAAGATAACGATTTTTTACAGAGACCTAGTCTTTATGCGGATGTAAATCTGTCTCGATCGGCAGATATGCCTTATCGTTTCATCCCCCCGTTTTTTTTCGCACGGCCAGGGGAACTTTGAAACAGGTATGTGCGCAGGGACCCCCCACTAGCGACGCATCTCTAGAATCTACGTCAGAGTATACCTACTAGATTTTTCGGTAATCTAGCCAAGGACCCATCTGGTCGAGCCTCAGTCTTGCTGATTCCGGATGCATTGGAATGGAGTGCTCTGGCGAGTGATAATTTATGACCGTAAGCCATTCACGAATCATACTGCTCGGGAATTACGTGATCTCACCTCGCCTGTGATCACGAGACCGTCTCATGATATATTGAACCTTGCGTATAATGATTATTCAGCTGCTTTATCACGGTGGGTTTAGGCGTCCATATATCAGGCCCCCATAAAAGTACATCTTTAGGATTTCCCACAGTTTGAGTGCTGGTACTTACGCATGCCTGAAAAGGCTTCGAATTCGTCTTAAGAATCATATGGTCGGGGATATCAGCCTTGTGGTAGTATATGTATGTACACGTATGAATTACCCAGAAACACAGGCGTAAGCCAGATAATTCTGCATAGACTCCCAGCACAGATAACATAGCTCTTAGAGTCCGTTTCTAGTACCATTACAGATATCATTAGCTCAGTTCAGGTTTTATAGGTGACGGTTACAAAATTATTACGATTTTTCATAAGTTCGAAGTGCATAAGTCCATAACCGAGTGCTTGACACCATATTAATTGTCACCATAAGTCCTAGTAGGAGGTTACCCATTCGTGACTCACGATTTCAGTGTTCTTTAGAGGCGCAAAGTGAATAGGACGTCAGCCCATTTCGAAGCTTCGCCTCTTCTGAACTTAAAGAGCATTCTCCGCTGACTATAGATCTAGACGCGCAATAATAATCTTAGTCTTTGAATTCGTCAAAAAATATCCGAGTGAGCACGTCATACTAGATTCCTGGGTGCCAGAGAATTGTTTGAACACAGCTCAATGCAAGTCATACTATTATTTTGCCACTAGATTTTGGGCTGTGAGGTTTGCTGGTTAGCTGATACTGAATGGCCTGGCCTGGATAGTCTAAGGTGCGTTGCATAGGTGTGTATTCGGTGTCCTGTAGCCGTATCTCACATCCCAAACACCCAGGCAAGGCGAGTTGAACATTCCGACAGTAATTGATATAGCTAGCCAAATGCGGTAGTACGTATAGCTTTTATAACCCGGCTGCAAACACTCTAGAATAATCTACATTGCCCTAAGTCCCATTCCGATGCGCACACCTCTTACCCCGCCGGTTGAGCCGATCACTGTATGTGTGTGTGTGTGAAATCATTTCATTTCTAATTCTAGGTACAGAATGGTCGCATAAAGTATAAACTATGGCGTAGCCGATCACTGTACGTACCTACACGTCTACTACATCATTTAGTCGCGTGGGCCAAGGGTTGCAGCAGCCCAGGCCTAACACCTCGATCTCTTTCATTCATATTTTGTGCCTCTAGCTACATCCCTCTTTGCCGGTCAGTACGCACCCTATTCTAGCTAGGATTCCTACAAGAGGAAAAATAACATCATCTACTCATCACCAACACCGCCGCCTTCCCACGAGTGATCTGACCTTTGGTTCCGGCCGGTAGTCACTTCTAGTACCCACAAGTCTTGGCCGCCGCCCCACTGGTATCGATGTTCAGAAGGCAGCCATATCGCTCGTACAGACCTGAGATATTATACAAGACCGGGTTCGTCTAGTCGCCATTCCGACGGCCTATTTTGTAACATCGGGCTGGTAAAAAGGTCCACAGTAATCTATAGTGGCTATATACCTCTTCTTCATTCTAACTTGGTTTATTTGAGCCAATTTATGGTTCTGACCACCGCAGGACGCGCATATGACCCATGCACCACCCATACTCAAACTTCGGTGCCTCGTGCACGAAAAAGATTATTTTTTTTTAAATGCCATCAGATGATATCAGAAACACTAATCACCCCTCCTTTTCCTAATCCTCAATAGCACTACGTACACCCTCAGCGCCACACACCGGCGCCACCACCCTCTGCCGTCACACCCTCCGGTGAAAGTTCCGCTGAGGTCACGACATATCACTCGCTGGTCTTGGCGAACACTAAACCCAGTCTGGTAAAGGGTTGTAAATAGAATATTTCGATTAGGGCTGTGGCTGCCTAAGCCTACTCTAGGGTACATTCTGGTTGTCCCGCTTCCCTTTTTAGGACAGGAGTAGAGGTGACTCTTGCGACAAACATGTGCGGTGATATTTTCTATCAGCACCCATATTATTATTGTCGAGTGCTTCCGAAAGGAGCACTCGGGACCTTATCATGGGTACAGACAGAGAGATAATGACCCTCTTTAGGATGGAATGACCGTGTAGTCTAGCATAAGCGGGTGGTGAGCTATCACGAGCACATCACGAGTAGTACAGAAAACGCGAAACAGGTGCTACAGTTGAAGAGCCGCAAAAGATCGCCTTAGGCGTTCATATGTAGTTGCATACTAACTATCCAACATCATCTAAATACAAATCATGCATGCAATAAACGTAATAACCCTAGAAATAGAGAGAAAAGGAAACAAATCAGGAAATCTTTCTGCCTTCAACTCGAATGTAATCATGAGAAAAATAAGAATAAACCCAACATGCACGCATCGATCATGATAAAACTAACACCGCAAGACGAGGCAAAAACAAAACCCCAAATATCAAAAGCCCAAAACAAAAAGAACAGAAAATTATAAAATTTAAAAATATAAAAAGAGAAGAAAATAAACCCGACAATAAACCAAAAAGCACAAAAACACCTGCCACAAACGTCGCCGCATCCAGAACCCCAAATAATAAGCCACAACCAAGAGATACCAAGATAGTAAAAGATAAAACGAAAACGAAATCAAAAGCTACAATATGTCTAGGATTTGAGTAGTGAACCTGGGTTTGTTGTTGAACAATCGGTGCTTTGACAGGGTTCGGCTCATGAGTCAACTTCCCCTCAAGAGAAGCGAGCCTACTTCTGACTCCGTCCGAGTTGTCATTGGTCTACATCAAGGATTGATCTAATGCAAGGGAATGTCCCCGAGAAACGTGCTTATCTGTAATTATTGGTGAAGCTGGTCGGCTGGTATGGCGTTACGCGTATGGTTGACTCGGTTTGTTTTCTCCATTCCTCCCTCTCAATCTCAATTCCTCTCCGGGCCCCTGGGACATATCTATGAAAGATAAGTAATGTGTCGTACTCTGTTCTGAGGTACGTAGACAGTCTCGACTGGGCAGTCCCGAGATCTATGGTCCGAGTCCCCGCACCTGGAGCACCTACGGTCCCTTGAGTCGGAGTGACTGCGGTGGTGGTGGTGATGGTGATGTCCATGGCGGTGATCGTGAACAACCAGTTTTCCTTCACGAGATGAAGATGAAGTAACAGCAACTGCCGACCACAGGCTCTCGCCGCTAGTCCTAGGGCTATTCCCAAGAGACCTAGACTGATGCGTGTACTCTTCAGCGACCCGGCGACGGGCATTTTCTTCCCTCTCACGGAGCTCTCGAGAGTGATGTTCGGCATAGACCTTTTCTACCTCTCGCCTTGCCTCCTCTGCCTCTCGCCTTGTCTTCTCCATTTGCATTTTTTCCTCCGCTTCTAGGCGACGAGTCTGCTCCTCCTCAAGACGGACCTCAAGGGAGATACGCTTGTTCCTCTCGGTGTTCTCAGCGCAAATACGGTCTGCAATCTCCTCGGCAGTAGCTTCGATGCTGTAGAGGGGAGCAGGGGCAGGTTGGACCACCGGAGCAGATTGGATTACCACCGGAGGCATATAGGTTTGAACGTAGCGAATCTCCTTTGGTGGAGGGGGAGGGGGTAGGACATTGATATGGACTTTGGCTGTAGTACAAGAAGCGGAATTAGAGTAACGACGACGACGATGTTCCTCAGAACGGCGGCTCTCGCGGACTGGAATCATATTGCTTCTATCCTCAACAGTCCAAGAGTCGTACATAGCGAACGACATCGACATTGTAAATTTAGTGGTGATTAAGACGTGTGGATTGGATGAGCGAACTGGATGGGTGGAGATTGTTGACAAGAACAAGTGGAAGATCCAAAGACCTTATATATATATCGATGTCTGGCCCAGGTAGATGGTGGTCTTGATAGAAGTCTTGTGATTATCAAGAAAGCTAGGTGCGAGTGATGGTCTTGTGATTGAAAGACTTGGTTGTAGAAGTTTCGAAGGAGTCAGACTCTGGTATATGTAATTGTAGGTATGTATGCTGTGGTATTTTGAATTCTGAATGACGGATGATCATAATGTACGAAGATCTGTCTTTATAGATAATTCAGAGTCCAGTTCCATGTAATACCTGCCGGTGCAGTTGGGGGTTGACGCGCTTCCTGGCCCCGCAATTGGGTGTCATTGCAGGCTATGCGCGCCGTCCTGCCACAATCAAATCGATGCTTGCAACCACAACCACGACAACCAGAAATCAGGTAACCAACCGCATAAACCGTCAAAACAGGGGAATACGTCTGTTTCAGCAAACACGATTCGCTATCACCATAATTAGGGGCTCATAGGGCCAATTCTGAGGCCAGCTGGATATTGCGAACTTTTCGCACAATGTCACCGCGTGAAGGGGTATGCAGGTCTCGTGGATTAGCAAGACAGACGTTTTGAGTCACTGAGTCGCAAGTACCCTGATCAAAAGATGATGCATGAACACCTGCCCCCGGTGTCAGATCTCCATGCAACCAAAGAGAGGCTAGGTTTTCTGTTTTGCTCTGTCCTACTCTAGTGTGGATGTAGGTACAATATCTTATCCCGTTTCCTGGGACCGTACTCATCTGCACAAATCCACGATGCACGAGGAGGGCTCAAGCGAATCGACAGGAATTCGGTTTTTCCCCAGGATATGACATGCAGGATGTGCTGCTTCACGGGTCCCGACAGGTCTCGCTTGGAGAATGGATCATGGCTATGACTGTTGAAGCACATTGACTGGCCGGATAATGTGAGGTCAGGGGAGCATGAGGCTGTGCTAGTTCAAGGGGAGGAAGGAACAGTCTTTTTAGCCCCTGCGACCTGCCGAACGTGGCTCGTAGATCAGGTGGAAGAGGCTAAGTCCAGGGTAAGGGCTTGTAGTGTAATACATACAAAGCTTGGTATGACGATTCGATATGGCTCGTCAGCCCCTTCAGACTCTTCCTCTCCATCCATCATCCCCTGGACGTACCTGCGTCGGCAGAACTAGATACATGCCAGGATGAATATGCGATATAGAAATGGAAGAGGAGCGAGTGAGGAGGCCTGCGCCTATTCGCGCAGTCAAAGTTTAATTTGACGTATGACAGACATTGCGATATTGCCATGGATCAATGCCGATTATACGATTACAGTACATACATGGTGGCCACGAGTTTTCTTTCTTTTCTTCGTTCAGCTTGGATGTGCGCATAGTTATGTCCAGTTACTCTCCGTCTATAATTGAGTTAATATTGACGGTCTAGAGCAAAAGCACAATAAGAAATAATGACCTCTCCTTCACTCTGGCTCATACTCAGCCAGTGTAGGATGGATACACTTACGTGTACGTACCACCCACCGGTTTTGAAAATATATACCGAACTGGAATTTGCCCGAATATCTTGTTTTATTGTTCTGTTCAAATTTGGATGGCGCCATTTTCTAGAAGCACAAGCGGCCGAGCAGGAGCTACCGAAAAAGGCGAAAGAACCCTGCGCCTCGGCTTTACCATGATGGAGTTCAGCTCAAGATGACCCCGACAGTTCCGCTCGGTGGATGTTTATGACTAAGACTTCTGAAAATGGCACGAAAAATATCGGCATACCTCCGACCCCAATTCAAGAATCAATGGAAGCAAGAATACTGATTAGTGCCTACTAATAACTTCATTCAAGTAGCCCCAGACATTATCGCGCGTTAGTGCAGGTATACTAGCGCTCTACAATTGGACACCAATAAAGTAATATAAACACTATTGTACATGTAACCGTATCATACACGCCTTTAAACGCGTAGGAGTAATTTCTGATTGGGGCATAACGACTTAGAACTCTAACCCCTGCTCTAAATTAGGTTACAGATGTGGTCCCTAAATTTTCCTAAAACGGGGTTTTTAATGGCTGCAGCCAGGGTCTCCACGGACATATATGACTCGTTTTGTTTGGTTATAAGGCAAGGAATTTTGTTTCATCGAAACACGCGCCGCTACTTGTGGCGTATCAAGGAGCGGCTGAAATTCGGTAGAGTGCTGGGCACGAAACCTAGATGTATGTAGTACCACATGTCTCGTTGATACTGCATGTATTTACCCGTAACCTAATTTGAGCGTTATAGGTTAGGAATTCTGCATAATTATTAGAGCATACCCCAGATTGTGCTCCCCAATTATTATGTCCCCAAATAAATACCAATATTAGGGCCCCCTGTCAATTTCACTAATTAAAAGGGCGCTTAACCAAAAGGCACATTCATCTTTTGTTGATGTCAATGATCACCGACGCAATAAAAATCACACACCATACTTGATTCCCTTGTTCAAAGTTTCATTATAGTTCCAGTTGCGTCAGCCGCTTCAGCCCTGGCGATTTTAGTGCCTTATTGGGTCCTAATTGGTACCGCCTCGCCGATCTACGATTGATATCAGAAGCAAAATCTTCATCAATGATTCTCAGTCAGCTTCTTGAAATCTACCTTAATCACGAGGAAAGCTTACAATGCTAGGCTACAATTTCGCTAAAGATCCCTGTAGAGAAACCGAATGGCCAAACGATTGTGTAACATATTGTAATCATTATCAGTATCATGGGATTTCATATGCATGGTTTAAGCCCTCAATTACTAATGCCCAAAGGAGACGTAAAATACCTTCATGATGTAATGCGTAGCTCGTTGCCATTGCCTTAGGTATTAAGAACCTGATCCTCTACGCTTGACATATTAATTAACTTTGAGGCAGTGCGGTGTAGCACGGAGGTTTAGAAATCCTTTTCTTGACATTCCAGAAATCATTTTTATTGATCATTATCAATTGCAAGAGAAACAGCGACTGAGTGATCGTGGCGACTAGCCAGCCTTGCGCGGCATTATGCCGTTTTCTCACGACACAGCGCCGGGTGTCTAGTCAAATTTTAGAAATCCTGAGGCTCTAGATGGTTACGACTCAAAGTGAATCCAAATGCACGCTAGAAATAATGTATCATCATGAATTGAACTCATCACGGAAACGAGTAGAAATACCAAGCATCTGTCTTATCTTTCGTATACGCGTAGGCATGACTAACCTCCTCTGAGCGACATAACAACACCCGCCATAATATATATCTCTCCTCAGACCTCGAGCCAGATAGATATCTATCAGTTAAACTACACAAATAATCAAAGACATAAAGGAACGAAGAAATCTACACGATATATGATAAGATGTTATTGACATCTCACTGTGAAAAGGTTAGGGTTAGTGTGGTCCACGAGGCATTTACGCTCGAGGCCTCGATAGAGCTCAAGGCATGGGGGTCGACGAGGCAAACCCTCTTACTCACCTCGAACTGTTCGAGGTTTAGGTAATCATAGTATTAGTGGCATATATTCAGTAGGGTTGATATTTCTGATAGGAACATTGGAAGTATTCCCTACATTAATTTGCATACCAGTATTACAATAAAATGCAATTTTGACAGATCTAAATATAGTAATTATCTGCCTCGAGCCAGCTCGAGCACCTCGAGGCATCACCCCTCTTTGCACGAGCAAGCAAGGTATGGATCATGCGAGTCAGAGGCACCTCGAGGCACTTGCCTCTACTCGCCTCGAGCAGCCTCGTAGACGACACTAGAACTTAGGGTTTTTAGAGTTTCTTTAATTATACCTGCATCATTCAGTCTCTGATTCATTCTGCAGTAATTAAGCTTAAGGCAAAGACCTTTGGAACGCTATGTGCGCACTAACCCCCAGCACATATGAAAATGGTTGAAAAAAGATGATTAACTAATCACTTCTCCAATATTGACGAAGGCGAATGCGGAGAGACGATACATCTACATAGTTCCCGATCAACTAGGCTAAAGATAACCCCATACCCTTAATTAACCTATCCTACCAGCACGCCAACGAAATTATAGTTACTCAGAGAATTTTCCGGAACACCGAGAGTTTACTAACGCTCCGTTCTGCAAAACTGAGATATGAATATTGCGAGATTAGAGCATACTTAATAACCGTCAATTCTAACAATTGACACTTGACCACTCTCCAAGGCTTAAAGCGGCATCCACAGGTGTCAATGCCCCGAATGTCGGAGACAGAGGGGTCGCCTGTGAAATTGTACAAAGTTGCCTATCTAAGTTTAGTTCGCTATGAGTGATGATTATTCAGCGAGCCAGATTCATTTTTGCGAGCCTGGGAGCTTTGTCCGGTACGTCATAGTCTCTGGTATATAGTCACTCCTTGGCATATATTTCTTATATAACACCTCTCTATTGAACTGTAGCCAACCAAACTACTAACCTGGGGGGAGTAGGGGGAGGGGGGCCGTAAGGGCCCCATTAACTCGCTGCTTGAAAGGTCAGAATTCTATTCGCATAAGAAATATATTCATATATAGGCAGAGTAAAAACTCTCGCAAAGTGGTTCCATGTACAGTACTGTGGTCAGAGAAAATCAGAAACATACATTCGCGGCCAGGCCAGCCTGTTGGCATTCAGTTTTGGGTGGGGTTGCTTTCCAGGCTGTGAAATAGGCAAGTCAAAAGGATACCAAATACAGTTACCGGACGACACCATATTAGTCATCATCCTATTGTTGCGGCTTGAGCTTTTCATATCTCGTCATTGTATCACAGGTAGCATGAGAAATTGTTTGAACTTCAGGGTTACTCCAATCACACCTTCCTTAATTCTGTGGCTAACTCGCGGTAGAGGGGGACTATCAATTTTAAACTCTGAAGTTTCAATTGTGAGAAATAGCACTTAATAAATACCTATATACGCTCTGCTAACAGTCGTATATTTTCTCAACATCACGATATTCGGGCGCTGCAGAACGGGGTGTAAAAACAGAGAAAGGGATCGGCCTCGTTTAGTGGTCCGCGTCTTATCGATATCTAGATCTCGATATCTCTTAGGGATTTCTGCTCATAGCTGTAAAAGGCAAGTGCTCGATCTGCCCGATCCGTCCGATCTAGTTGCCAAATTCAGGGCTCATTCATTGATTGATTGATAATTCATTCGTGTATGCATATGCAAATTCAAGGCCCATGTGATTTATGACGAAACATTTGGTGCCCCACGAACAGAAAAATACGTACCTCCTAATTCATTAAACCCTAGATACATAGATTGTTATGGATGTGGGATGATAATTAAGGCCTGCCATAGCATGTTATCTAGACCGAGACTCTGAAGCATGGAATATCACTCGCTGGATTGTGTGCAGGTATGTACTATTGTTAACTACTAAATGCAACGTGTGCAGGTACTGTAGTTGGTTGATTACATACTTAATATTTATCACCCCTTTCTCATCTTCAGTTGCATGCTAGTAAGCAAAGTGCAATGCCCATACGTGTTTTTAACATACATATGCATGTATTATGTAGATACATGATATATGTGCCCTCGATATTAAACGCAATTATTAGTTTACGAAAATAGTATGCAATTTGTTTTATACTGACCCGGAGTTGTGTGAGAAATTTGAAATAGCGCTACTCTCATTATCACTATTACTATTTGAGAAATCAAACTTGGGCTCCTTGAAAAATATAACTTTCTCTGGGCTCAATCGAGCTAGTTCGACTAACCGCTTTGGAAACTATATGAACGGATATCTCGGCCAAAACAACCACCCCGTCCATTCAAATCCAGACTCGAGTAATTGAGCGCTAGTGATATTTAACCCACCATATACATGTACGTACGTAAGTTCCGAGTACTTCATAAACCGATACAATTACAAGTCTCCCAGTTTAATCTCCCTGTCACGTTAAGTACGGCCCAATACGTATCCAAAGACGAATGTTAATTCAGATCTGAACCTAAATCAAATATACACAATGCAACGAGAAGGTAGAAATCCATTGCCTATCATAAAATAAATCGAATACTCGCGAGAACAAGTTTCTACTCCCAATTTACGTTATGGCCCTGTCACATTATCCACATCAACAGACCCATAGAACTTGTTCCAGCGGCAAGTACGATCAACTAATATATATATATACACAATACCGAAGAGAGTTGTACAATAATGAAGATAGGCCACATCCCGATTCACCGTAAAACAAAAACAAAAACACCCCATTACACCACCACCACAACCACCATCACAGAGGATAAAGTATTTACAAAATGATGGGACCTAAACCGGATGGAAGCCCTTTACCCCCGATTGAGACCCTCTTATTACCACCAATGGAAATAATGGTCACCTATTCTTAGGAGATAAGGATTTGCTAGACAGCCAGCACGAGCCTTACGGATTGGGACCCATACAACCCCAGTCATCCATGGCACTAGGAAAGCTAATCAGAGAGTCGACAAAACCTTGCACTCCGTCTTCCTCCTCGTTGATCCATGCAGACCCTCCATGGCTATTGAGTTGCGCAGAATTCTGGGAATTCGGCGAAAAATAGTGCTCTTGAGAAAACGCATGCCCACCACCCGTGTTCCGATTTTGGACATGCAAAGTCCTAGAAACCATATGGACTGGATGAATCATATCCCAATGTAGCCCTAAGTCAACTCCCCGTTTTTCGGCCTCAGTTGAAAGGTGCCGTAAAATAAGGTTACACCAATGCCATGTCTCAGAAAGATCTTGCAGATCTTTCAAAGATCGAGTAAGACTGGATATTTGATTGGAAGCCATTGACGGATTCATAAGTAGAACCGTGGAAGCCGTGAAAATAATTTGTGGAATGTGTATGACAGTGTGCCGCAGGCCGTAAGATTTTCTATATTGGGTGGTGAGGACTATGATCTCGTTGGCTGCTTGGAGACAGATATCGCGGGGCAAAATGCCAGTTATTGGCATGTCCTTATTAAAGAAAGGACGTAAGAGAAGAAGCAGGGTAGAATGATAATAAATGCTGTAAAAAGATTATGTTAGCTAGCCCCTTTTACGTAAATGTGATGGATAAAATAAGTATGTAGGCTAATATATCCACATTTTGACCAAGAATGAAATAAAAAACACTCTTCACAGCGCACAATACAAAAAAAGAAATACATCACTTACTGAAGTCCAAGAACGGATGGTAAAGCCTCGTTCCTAGCAGCCTCGTTCCTAGCACCCATGTCCGGTGGAAGCCCGCCGTGCCATTTTTTCAGCCGAGAACATAGGGTGTTGAGCTTAATAAATGTCACACGCTCTCGCGGCGAAAAAAACATGGACAAAATATCTCCAAGAATCTCCGAAAGCTCGCAAAAGCGAGATGCCACTGTCTGTATACGGCCTGCTTGTGCTAATCCGACGGAAGCTCGGACAGGGCTACCGTAGGCCTCCCACGTCTCACGTTCAAGGGGGCCAAGTATTCCCGGTTTATGGACGCCAACAATGGATGACGGAAGTTGTGGAATCCTTCCCAAGAATGATGACCACATTCTAGTCTGGGCGTTAGCCTAAGATCTCATATTTCATGAAGTTGTGTTTTGCATACTTGTCAATAGTGAAGCAGCCCCAGAATGTTATCTTGCGGACTTCAATCTCAGTTGGAGATAGACCTAAACTATCCAGCGGGAGGTTGAATCCCAGGTCTAGGCCCATTCTAAATGCCCTACCTGAATACATCCATCCACTGGAATCTCGGCCACATCCCGCTTCATGAAGCGACATAAGCGCCAGCGCTTGAACAGATGTCAAACATGGAGTATCCCCTTCTGACGCTAAGAGTCGCTTAGCCTCCGCGAAGAAGTGATCACCAGCACTATTCGGATTGTTCGGTTCTGATCGAGCGTCCGGGTGATTCGAGAAGTGACACGCCAACGCGAGAATAGCATTGACGAGAAGAGGGCTGCAGTATTTCCTTCGACCCTTTTTCATGTCGGCCAAGAAGCAAGACTTCGAAAAGAGAACGTAATAAGGATGATTCCAAGTGAAATATAAAGACTGCGTGAAAGGGGTTACTATCAGCAGGATTCCAAGCAGTGTGTTTTTGAAGTATTGGACTAGTCGCTAAACTCACAAGAAGATCAGATATAAAGCTAACATCTGTCGTCACATTGGTCCAAATGTGTGAAGTATTTTGACTAGTTATCTCTCTGTGATCAGAACTTTCATCACCTAGGGATCCGTTATACCCTACTCCACCTCCACCCACACGGAATATCTCCACCAAATGGCCTAAGTCTTTTTCCAAAGAAATTGCTGTTGGGCCATCTGGCATACCGATCATAATATCCGCCAGATTGCCGTGCTCACGGAGATGATTAACAAGGTCCCCCACATCCGACTCCGAAGCAGAACGAATTGTCTTAACAATTGTTTCTAAATCTTGATGCACCTTACTCAATTCTGCCAGATCTCGTTTTAAAGCTCCTTTCCGACGGTGGTCTCCCTCGTAATCGTAGACGCATTCTGTGCGGTAAACTGCAGTACATGTAGAGCAAGCTGGCGAGACGCCATCACACTATTTTCAGGAACTGACTTTAGTAATGTTTACTACTTTGAGGTGCTACCAACAGGACTCGTATAGACATTTGCCATCTCAATAAAAGCTGTTTCATACCTTTGATTTCCTTTTCCGACATGGAATACATGCACTCGATACGCATCGACGCTTACGAGCAACAGGTTGAATGGTGTGGAGGGATGGTGATTTTCCTTGATCGTCTTCCTTTTTGAGTTGAACGCGAGGAACCATGGTAGATTGCTGTTGTTCTTGTTGCTGTTGCAGTTGCTGATGCTGTTGCCGTTGCTGTTGCAGTTGCAGTTGCTGTTGCAGTTGCAGTTGGAGTTGCTGATGCTGATGCTGATGCTGATGCTGATGCTGATGATGCTGTTGCTGATGCTGTTGCTGATGCTGTTGCTGTTGCTGCTGCTGCTGCTGATTCTGATGCTGATGCTGATGCTGATGCTGATTCTGATTCTGATGCTGATGCTGATGCTGATGATGATGATGGTCACCTCCAACGTCAGGGTTACTAGAGGTGGGTTCCATCTCGACTTTTTAGCCTTTTAAACCTAAATTCTAACGGTGTACTGTTTAAGGTTGAAAGGTCTGGAGTAGGTGCCAATTCCTCGACCTTATCATAAGTGTTGTGTGCGACATAGACTCGTTTGTAAGGCTCCATATAGACGTCATGCTGGCCAAAGTAAGGACGCTTAGACAGACGCCCTAGACCGAGAAGTTGGGGGGGGGGTGGAACGCCACTTTCTGGGAGGGTGTGGTGGTCGTGGTCGCTAATTTTATGTGGGTTACAGTATCTAGCTCATGCGGGTAGCAGTAACAACATACATGTACCTCCTAAGATGCTGGACCTGGACAGTGATCTCCCGTAGCATCACAATAGCGCAATGTTGTCAAGCTAGGCTGTCAACATGAATATAACGGCTAGAACCATTGATACATGTACGTACATACTTTTTTTTCTGGACCTGTGAAAAGTGTTTACATGAGGTTTTGGGGTTAGGACATAAATGATGGATGGCTTTTAGGGGGAAGAAAGCTGATATTGATATTCTACAAATACCTACATAACCTATAATGTATAGCCTATAGTTACGCGTACGTAAGGCCGGGCTGCACTGTGCCTTCGGTGCCAATATATAATTACATAAATGCCCCGATTACAAGTCTTCACTCCAAATATGTATGTATATATACTGGATCATATAGATCTACATTTATGTACTTACACAGGCTTGAGCCATCTCCCTTCTTCGTATCAATTTCTCGCCGGTTTCCTCGCCAAGCTATGCCTCCGCCTTGAACGAGCGCCACTCATGCGTGTTCTCATGAATCCAATTCCCAATTGACTGATTATTTTATTATTCCGATTATTTTATTAGTCAAATTAAAGGAATTAAGCCAATACTACTTAGAGCGATATTTCTCCTCGAGCTGTAAGTTGTCTATAAACGGTTTAGCTAATTATGGTTATCACAATTAAATCCTACGGATCCTCTACGCGGTACAATCAGGCGTTGCAACGGGTTCGGAATTAGTCTTTTTATTCGATTCGCCGCCTCTGGCCCGATCAAGTCTGTTTGGTAGCGGCGCTTTGCGATTTTTCGATTTCATCTGACATTTGCATGGTTTGAGGCCCAAAAATGAGTTGGGCTGCATGTTGTTCGATTTCCAAGCCGGATTTCCACAGGAACTTTGGGCCGTATTTCGATAAGAGGCCAGAAATTTCTGAAAATCGTGATCTTCTGAAAATCCGGAAACCAATTATAGGATGAGCCATACTTTACAGAAATCAAACAACTTATGGCCGCATCCATGCAACGGCTGTCAAGGGTTGTGACAATCTTTGGACATGTGGGAATCCAATCTTCAACCTCAACCCGCTTTTTAAACCTCTTTGGAGGTCTGAGCGCCCCAGATATTCAGTTTTGCTCAAGACTTAAGCTTTAGGATGCATAATTTTTGGATTATGTAAATGTTGGAATAAAATCATCCCTTCAGGTGCACGCACAACAGGGTGCATCAGACTTTTACTGAATCCTGAGAGAGGGAAAGAAATCCGAAAGTAAATGGGTCGAGGGATCAAAACAGCACAAAGCACCAAAAGCCAGACCACGAAAGCTTACCCGAGGGCCCCAACGGATAGCGCCCGAAACCGTTTGATATATTTCACGCACACATCTTGTCTATTACGGAAAACATCAAGATAGTAGCCTTTGCCCATATCAAGCATGCAATCATTACCTGCACACGTAGGGTACTCACTCAAGAGAGCTGAGCTTGATTACCCCATATGTTGTTCTGAAACTGACTGCATCTTCTCTCACCTATCCCGATTGCTGATAGGCTATCCATTTCTACGTCTCACGTTGCCACATGCCCCGATTGGTTCACGATTTCTTTTCTTCTTCTAGGATTGAAAGAAATCAGCTAAGCTTCTCTAATACGGTCTCTCTCCATCACGGAATAACCAGGGGAAATTCTTTTAGCTGGCTGTGGATGCATACCAAGTTATGATCTTATTGGTCGGATGTATTTCCACGAATAGCGCTGAGGCATAAGATTAACGGTTTCCTCTTCCCCGTCTGCGCACGTGCATATGCCTCCCCACCCATGCCGTTCAGGTATGGGACGAACGCCAAAGGACAGTGCGGGTGTACGCCACATTGAACGCTTCGACGCCGAAAAAGAAAGGCCGTTGAATTTCGCTACACTCTTCGCTCCCGTTCAGGATCCAGCAGAGCTCAATGAGGCCAGATCGTCCTAGAAATCAGAAGTGGCTGATCAAAGAAATCTATGAAAACGTACGTACATAATCAGTTTCGCTTCAATGGCTTGAAAGGTTTAGATTTAGGACAATACTACTCCTCCGGAAGGTTAGTTTTGGGGGCCGGCCTGTCCTAGCCCTCGCAATATCGAAATATTATGCCTAGTGGTGGTGGGGAATATTCACTCTTAAAAGCTAGACGCGGGCCAAATTGCGATATTGTAATATAATCCCAACTGAAATGCAAAGCATCCCGTTCGTGACAGCTTTTCTAGTTTATGCACCCCTTCCCGTTCCCGAGAGAGGCGAGGGTGAGCTGGCCACTGCCTTGCCCGTGCGCCCCTTATGATCCACATACCTAGAGTAGGCCGCACCAGCCGTTTAGGTTATCAGATAACATCCCAGATACGACGGCCTCATAAAGTTAGCCCTAGAGATATTAAGACGCAACTTTAAGTTCACTCACACGATACATAAGCACGAGTGATCGTTGGTGAATATCGATTGTATTGAGCCTGTTACAGTTGCCAAGAAAATAACCGTTACAGTCATTGGACCAACGAGTGGCTCTCTGAGTCGTCGTTCGCGAAGATACATGCATATCATGTCTTACACCTGCCACTCAGACGGAGGAGAATTCTGATTCATACATTTACCCCCCTAGCCCCTGCAGCTTGATCCATGGCCTATAATATTGCTTTTTATGCAACATGTTTACGTTATCGAGCTGGGTGCAAATTATGTCTTCAAACCTTAATCCGCTTAGTAATACAAAAAAAAAAAAAAAAAACCGACGTCCATGATACCAGTAGGTATAGGTACAATTTCATTAACTATCTAGATCCTATGAAACAGAAGCGATAGCATTTAACCAGACATTAATTGTTTTTCACGATTTTGAGGGTTAGTGGCCATGGTGCCCAAATATTCAGACTGAAACGGGTTCAAAATCGGGGAGTTCACATAGATTCACATCTTGTGAAATTGTCCGATCAAAGGTACTTAAGACAAGGGACTTGAATCGCTACCAGTCGATCTTGCCAGATGAGCATATATGGGCATACTTGAGCTTAATTGGCCCGGGCTGATTTCGGTGAAATGAATGGACAGGTATTCAATAGAATACCAGCTACATACTCGTAATTTCATAGCGTTTCCGAACACGACCAATATAGCAGTCGTGTTCAGAAACGTCATGAATTTACGAGTACATACAATACATACATCTTATCTGGGTTGCAATCGAGTAAGGCAGTAGTACGAACGGTAAAATAAATACTTTTAATTTTGAACCTCGCGGTGATATTTATATTTTAGACCTGCTGATGATTTCTAACGGTTTATAGGAACACACGAAGCAAATAATCTTGGTATTTAGTATTGCCAAGAACGATTCACGACACTACGTATACGGTACTACACAAGACCCATAGGTAGTTTGATCATCGAGGGGTTGGAAATCTTTCTGTTCAGGGTCAATTACCGCCGCCGCCCAGGCAATATCGGCGTTTTATTTTGCGGCCCGAGCTCCTTCCCCGGACATACTAATTCACGGTAGCTTCCTTGAATACTCAGCCGAACTTGATATAAATCTGAGCGGAAGTTTCCTCCAAGTTAACTATAGAGCGCGTTGTATTCCGAATACCAGCTGTGATATTGAAACACGAGGCGCTAGTAATCATGCAGACAAATGAAGCTAGGATGCTTTTTTCTCTCAATGAGATACCTACATAACAGAAAGGGGAGATATCGCTAGAGCTGTCTACAAAAGGATATCATCCCGAACTTCTAATGGTAAGGACATGTGCTGTCAGTTTGTTATCATTTGGCTAACCAGGGAGACCCCCCAAACCATCCAAATGTCTTAGAATATAACGACTTCTGCGTAGCCTCCAATCATGCCATTCTTTAACTCCACTTACATGCATGCTAGAGTGCTAAGAAATGGCAAGTTCCAGTTCCATGGTAATGGGACCAAGATGCCAATTATTGTGTTCATCTTGGGAATGTTCGGGCGAGTATATATTCACTGAATATATGCCCGGATCAACAAAATTGGATAATAGTTCCCTGGTGTCTATTTGAGCGATTGGTACGTACACACAGTGAGACTTAAGTATAGTTCTCGGGTACTATGATAATGTCTTACTGATCTAGGAGCTCACCTGATGATACGTGAGTAGTCTAGTTCGTCTCCTTATATACAATACGATGGCTAAAGTCAATCGTTAGCTGCACCAAATTTAATTACCGTGGCCTAAACAAGAACTAGTGATAAGTCTCTAATTGAATTGACATCACTAAGTAGGAACACCAATCTAATAATTATCTTGGAGAGATATGAAGCCTATTCCTACAAAATGGCAGGTGACCATGTCCCTTCGAATTATTTAAAAATCCAGGATTGTTACTAGTTTATGGTTAGGGTTAAAAAAAGAACTAATTAATTTAAGCCTTACAGCCACCTACTCACTCGGGGAAATCATCGCTTGAGGACGTGGGGCCCGGAGTCTTAGACATCACTGCGTTATGTACTGTTGTCTTACATGCACAGTGCCTACCTCAAAGAATTGTACAGTCTCACAACTGTCAAATAATGTAGCGCATGTCTATGATTTTCTTTAAGCACTATCTCAAATCGGCTAAAATGGCCAACTAAAAGGATACGCGTCAACATGGACTTGCAACCTGGTCTGGGCTCAGCTCGGTTTATCAAGAATCAGATTATATTATGAACACATCCGGTTTTCTGGATTACAAAGCCCTGAAATAACACTTGACGAATATATACATGTGTGTGTGTCGTTGAGCTAGTCTATTGACTCTTGAAATCTATGTGATTCCTACTAGATAAGGCACAGTGCAATTTACCACATTGCCTGTCTTATCCGGGGGACCGGGAGATCTTTTCCAACAGAAGAACACTCATGTAGTCTTCTAAACGTAATCGATGCATGTGCTGGCAGGAGAGCCCTGAGGAAACGGCGTAAAGTACTGGCCATGTTTAAAAAGAACTGTGCCTCCTCTTTGCACAAGACGAGGCAATCTTAAAAAGGACGTCGATATATACAGATCAATTTATCTGCCCGGTCGTCGTAAAGGGCAATAAACAGCCAATTTTACTTGCAGCCATGAATTGAATCTCACCTTTGTCTCACCCCGCTCACTTGAGAATCCCGGAACCTTGGTCGGGGGGCGTGCAAGCTTCGGATCGCAAGTCGCCTGTTAGTGCTTTTACGCTTCTGATTGGGAATTTGGCATGGCATAGTACCAACTCTAGAAGGACAGATATATACTGGACGCCTCTTATTAAAATTTGGACAAGGGGTTGTGGTATCAATTCTTGTGGTCGTTAAGATCTACACATACTGATTTTTGATGGCTATTACAGGGGACGCCTGATTGGGCTTAATTAATACACCATCAGCTGAAGAAAAGTATCATTAACTACCCAGCTATACTTGCGCGTTAATTAAAAGATCGGAACTTTGTGTGGGGATTTGGTTGTAACGACTTCTGACCTTTTAATTAATGGGCGAGTAATCTTGATTCCATATTCGCTAACCAAAATAATGATTTACTCAAGAAATGTGATTCAAATACATTCTTGGACAGGCTGGGCTAGAGGAAGGCTTGGAAGTTTGACAGGACACGTGTGGGCATGAGTTGAGTAGATCCTCATGGATTCTCATGATATCTGATAGTGCGAAGCTGGCCTAGACATCTGATATGCTCGACAGTGTTAAAGGTCCGCTCCCATATGTAAGGAATCTTGGCAAGTGCGAATATTTTGCTTGCTACAGAGAATTTCGAAGAAAACGATGGCTATAGGTATCGGTATATACCGCTGTGGGTATGTCTATCTACTAGTTAATTAAGTGATCGGTCAGATTCGGATTGGATCCTAGGCCTCTAAAAATTGATTCGGCAGTGGAATTGTGGCATATGGCTCTACCCCAGTAAGAACTGCCGCCACGTGAGCATGACATGGGATAGTTGTCACTCCTGCTAGGTATCATATGTCACATTTACATTTATGGTCGAGTTCATTGAACGTAATATTAGCGCCAAGATCTCATTGGGTGCCTCATTCGTGGATCTGAAAGCCGGCCTTTGACACGGGGGAGTTAATCACTTGATATTTTTTCCTACACAAAAGCACTAGTGGAAGTGCAAAAACTAAATTCGCCTGTTTTGCAATTGTGAAGGAGGAGACAATTGCAACTTGGTGTTAATCAACAGTATACTAGTAGATCTACCAATTCTTAGATATATATATATCCTAGAATTCGAGTATAGGTAGGTTGTCATGTCGTTTTGAGACTTCACCAATGATTCTCTGGTCCGTTTACCAGCCTCGAGCTCTTCGGCCCCCACTTGATGTCTCCGCTGTCAATATTCTATGTAGATACGTTACATACATGTATATATGTACAGGGGAGGACCCTAGGAACACCACTCTTGAATTCAGTTGTAGACTTGTAGTGTTCGAATTCGTGGTCATATGGCGATGGGAGATGGTTCCTGTATTAATTAAACCATCGGTAATTATGTCTTTTTGACAGCGGCATGCCGGCATTAAAAACGAAGCCTTAGATTTACATGCAGCAGCCCGTTGTTTCCTGCGCATGCAAGTACGATTCTATGCTTCTATGTTGATTCTGATCATCAGAATATGTACTATTTTTCTTTGATTCGAATAATAAGGTTATTTAGCTATATTTTATAGTAGGAAAGCTGGAGATGAGAGCACCCCCCCGACGTATAAAATTGTTTCAAATAATATCTATGTGTGTGTGGCCATGCATGGGAGATTATTAAGCAACTTACAACTGCTGCCAAGAGATGCGGGATCGTGGGATAGCTCGATGTGCCGGCGCCTTTGTTTTGAGTATAATAAATACCTTATTTAAATAAAGTACTGGGAAAGTTTCTTTCAAATATATAATCGAAGCTACAGAGAAGATTTAACCAATTATTCACAATATGCAAGATTGTCGCAAAATGATGCAATAATTATCATTTCCAATTATCCTAAAAGATTTGGGGCCTCTCCCTTGAACCCTTTCGAGCCCAAGGCTTTGAGGCGAGGTCTCGGATTAGAGTCTTTTAGCTGCAATAGTTGGACAGAAAGTCGAGCACTTCGACAAAAAGTCCTGCACATTTTGTTGGTTGAACGACTGCAAGTCTCTTCCGAAAACAGCTAGACTTTCTGTCTAACCTGCTCGACTTTCTGTTCAACTCGCGCAGCTAAAAGACTCTATTCATTATCATGAATCACAATATATCACAAGGCGTGATAATTTCATATTGCTTTTTCCGAACGCACTAGAATTCTTTCGTTCAAACATCTCTGAAGCTATGTACATGTAGGCTCCCATCATAACTATTGACAAGCCTATAACAAGACGAATGATTATGTATGAAATTCTAGATATAAATTGCAACTATGCACTATCATAGCTACTTCACAACACCAATAACCGCCGATAGGCCTAGGTTATTTTCACATGTAGCTCTCCTAGTCATATTCACACTTTCCGGGACTACATTTCTCTTCTGGGTTCGAGGCCGTAGTTTCTTTGAAATGTCACCCACGCGGTTGACATGCAAGACGCCGGGTCCCGGGTGTTATATATGTGCCAAGAAAACTGTAGTCCGATAATCCTGGTATATAAAATCGGTTACATCTTTATAATTTACATACATGTAGCAATTGATGAAAGCCTGTCGGCTCTACTCTAGAGATCTGTGAGGTCCCTAAGCCGCCCTAAATGTAGCTGCTACAGCCCCAAGAACCACCCCGGATTAGGCCATATATATATATATTGGGAGCTCAGTTATATATCTTTAGTCACTTGCAACGTATATTTCAAGGTCTGAAGGTTTCTCGGAGATATACCTGCATCAATGAGCCCTCCGATATAGCTGATATATCCTCAAGTATCAATTTGTTTAGAGCCGTCTCGCTCCCAAGTTACACGAATATATAGTCGGTTTTGAGATCCAAGAATTAAACATACGCGGCATAGCCATGAACGCCGCTGGTGGTTTGAGGAACAGAGCGTTTATCCACGTGTCCCATGTACTGTACTGCTGCTCAGTGCAGTCTCATCGTAAATGTATGATCATCGCTGTCATGTTTACGCAATGTGCGTTCTCGAAAAGTAAATCTCCACCAGATTCAAGATAAAAGCCGGCCCGTGCGAGCACTTATTTTGTTCTGGAAGTAATATTTAGATCTCAGATCATGCATACAAAACTCTTGTACGCACTTACATTGCCGGAGGAAAGGGGGTGCAGTATAGTAGAACGGCTGTGGCAGCTAGCTGCAGATACGGCACTTTTCGTGAATGCAGAAATAAGCAAGGCGCACATATGTACCGCACAAATTCTTTCATGAGATGAACTACTGCCGGTGTACATATTTTTACTCTTTTTACATTAGCAAATACTCTATAGGGATAGGGCAATTATACGATTCTGAATCTCAATTATCTGAATTCTCCCATCCCCTTTCTTTTTGGCATTCAAAACGCGGGGTACTATCAATACATGGATGAGTTATATACCTTTTATTTGACAAGGTCAGGCTGCAGGTGCACAACAGACTTTGTTGGCGTTTTAAGAGGGTCCCCTCTGCCGAAACGATATTCCAGGCTGAGAGTAAACCAAGAACGATAAATATATATATCACAAACGTTAAACCCACAAACCCATAAAACAAGATACCCGCTCACGATTATCAGATATCTGGTAGATCACCCGTACCGCCGACGATCTTGGCAGAACCTGTACGATATACATGCTCACCCGACCGTTGAGTGATTCGATTTTTGCTTATTCTTTAATTACTCCAATATGAGAATATCCCTGTATTGACACCGGTCCCATCGGTACTTTTAATTGTAAGAAGCAAGTGCCAGGACATGTGTAAGAGGCATGGAGATGCCTAGAATCTCGGCTCTTGAACTTCACTTACACTATATTCATGATCGATGACCGGATCATAGGATATCACGCGATCATTTGAGTCATGCCCAAACCTCATTGATCGGCGATAAAAACAAGCAACAATGAGTGTGAAGACGTCCCTTACTATTTGTACGAAAATATCACATAATGATTTACCTTTCTCATGGTACATTTGACGGCGCGCTTAGCATCGCTGGGAACATGGGGGTACAATAGTAATATCGGCTTGATGCTATAGATTTAGGCAAGATTGGCAATACAAATGCTATGAGTGTCTCGGAAGCTTTGTTACGGCCCCGGACCCCGTAGTAACGGCAAAGATATTAGATTAACCGTGCCGTGTCCTGGTATCAGACCGCCTTGCTGTGATTTGTTCTGTGAAGTTATTGACTAACTATTAGTCGATTGTAAAGAAAAGATAACGGCCGGCCGAGATAGCCATGTGCAGTGTGGGTGTTGGGCCGGCCTCAATGCCAAGCCTTGGGTTAACGTGATTTTGTCTTACTGATGAAGCGACACCTGAGGATCGTATGATATGTTGTTCTGCTACAATTGCGTTTGGTACATTCCTTGAGATTTGGTGAGCAATCCATCGTTTGAAACTTACATTTCCACTATCAAGGTCATTAATTATATTCAGCCCGTCACCATCAAGGTCATAAAGAGAAGTGCCTCTTTTCCCTATGTCGTGGACTCCTAAAAAAAACCCAATTTTTGAAATCTATATAACTTCCAACTTCAAATACCATGTACTCAAGACTTCCCATAGGGCAAGGGTTAAGGGCAAGTTTGTACCCATGCCAAGATCTTCTTACGTCATAGAGCTGTGTTTTGCTACACAGGTTATCACTCGACCGACCCTTGATCAGTAAACATACATATATATGTACATACACGTAAACAAGTGAAACCATGATCTAGTGGCCAGGATGCTATGGAGGGACCAAGCAATTAATATGTATATAAACGCTCTCGTATATATATACCTAGTAGATAACCCTGAAAGAAAGAGCAACTGGACCTAGATTTTTTTGAGGTTGTTGTAAATGAACCTTGCGCCCTCCATTTTCCTCGAACATTTCCCACAATACTTTTTTATCGAGAGTTCTCAAAATACGTGAGTAGCAATCAAGATATACAATAATTCATTTATAGATCATCCGAGCTGGGCTAATTTAATTAAAGGAGGTCCTCTATGTCACTACGATTTATTGACTGGGAAAACCGCCGAAAAGTAAAGAAAGGTCTTCATCGTGGAATGGAATCTAGAACTGTGCTGTTCATAGTTAACATAACTTAGGACACATATCCCCTTTTCAACACCTCTATAATACACGTCGTGCCTGCTATCTAATAACGATTGATGTCTCTCGATCGTTAACAGTCGCGATCGCTCGCGCTCAGTTAGCACGATTTGCTAACAACATTCCCGTGGAAACGTGTACTTGTGTTTCGATCGTGCGAAAGGCCACGGGGCCAGAAGCTCGCATGTCAGTGGATAGGAAAGATATCGATCGACTTCAAATCATTTATACCTTTGCAGGAGACGCGACGATTTGCTATTGATAAGATGTAGCTCATCGTTTTACCTTAGTACATTTCGAACACAAATCAGAACCAGCTGGCCAGTACCCATATTATCATATATGCGTAGTTCTTCTCTCATTTTATGCCAAATTCCAACGTACAAACGACTTAGACCACAGCGCTAATTCTCAAGACACTCCATCTTGTGATCATCATCAGAATCCTCCGAACCCATATATTCGGTACTAAGATCATCATCATCATCATCATCATCCTTTTTCTCTCTCTCAGTAGCCGGAATGTCATTATGGACTCTATTATACCCACTCGTTCCATCTTGATGTAGCATCCTTTCGGGGAGGATAGATATAGCTTCATCATACTTCACCCAGAAGTTTTTCATAAATCGATGGTGCCTTTGTTCAGCTTCCCTAATACTAATCGTTTTCTCGGATTCCCAAGTAGCACGGGCCATCTCCAGACGTCGATCACCGCGGGCCATGACAACACATGGGTTGTCAGCAATCTCTGTTATCCCAGGCCTCTCCTCCGCATCCACGAGTAGACAGCCTTTGATAAGTTTTCTGAGATCGCTGGAGTATAAATCCGGGATATCTGGATAGACTCCCCTTGCGGTGCCAATGTAGTCCATGTATGAATCGAGGCCATCTGCTGGAAGTGGTGTGAATGTTAAGGTTTGGGTACATAATTCGTGCAAGATGCACCCTAGTCCCCAGACTTCGCTCCTTGCAGTATAAGGTTCACAAAGGAGCAACTCGGGGCACATGTAGGAGGAAGTTCCGACAAAGGTCGTTCGCATTTGTTGGCCTGGCTCCAGGCGACCACAGACGCCAAAATCACCGAGCTTAACGGTGCTGCAGACAGAGTCGTAAATGAAGACTAAAAAAAAAAAAAAAAAAAAGAGGCATCAATATATATCAAGATTTATGGAACCTCGGCCTGGGAAACTTACTGTTTTCAGGCTTTAGGTCACGATGGAAAAAACGAGGACTGTCGCTATAAAGGGCACTCCCATGCTTGCCCGCTAAATCACGATGATGATTGTAACCGTTATGGCACCGGAAAAGCGCCATGGTGAGCTGCTCAAGGATTTCCCATATTTTCGCCTCCGGAATCATCTTGCCTCGATTGGCAAACACATTGATGTAATGTTTTAGGTCTCCGAGCGGACAATACTCCATAATGCTATCACCACAATTTAGTCTGCTGACAGGGCACATCTGATTTTGACTGCTTACAGATGCAATGTCGTGTTCCGAATATCATTGACAGCTCCATGATATGCAACGATGTTCGGGTGCCGAATCTCAGCCAACATACGAGCCTCGTTCTGAAGCATCTTATGAAAATGAGACGGCATCGTCTCCCAATTAACCTCCTTGCGCGCGAGGTTCTAGGGAAGCATTCATCAAAATACCGAAACAACAACGGGAGTAGGCTGTAATCACCTTTCTGGTTTTCATACATCTTACTCTATACACCTTTCCAAAACCTCCTTCACCTACGATTCGGTCAGTCAACCTGCACAATTGCAAAAAGATAGCTTTGGAGGGCGAAAATACCGATTCTCTCAATGTCAGTGAATCCTCTAAGAACATTGACGTCCTCAGTATAAGGTAGCATCTTTGACATAATGTCGGGTGCTTTTTAGTTGATGATTGTGTGTGATGGAAGATGTGTCGATGATGATTCATGAAGCAAATTTGTGGGATGGGGGAATTTGGAGGGGGGCGGGTAGTTGGCCGGGCGATACGCTCTATTTGCATTCAAGTTGTGCGATCCTACCCTGGAGTTATTTGCGTAGAGCAAGGGTGAGTTTGAAGGCGGACGGGTTGCAAGACCGCTACATTTGGTATATTCCGGCACAGTTTCTCACTCGATCAAGCCCGTGCTTAAGAGTTGTCGATTAATCGATTCGTTTAGCTAAGGGCGTATAACCCCCACAATCTTTAGCAATTTTCTTTGACCATGATGTATCTGTTTGATATTTACAGTGGGGGGAATACATGTAGTTTAGCGAGCATAAGGTAGTGGCTCCGTAAGTACATGTATAGAGGGCCTATTGCCTAGCTTCGGAGGTGGGTGCGACGGCGCTTGTACGCGACTTCTACCAAAGGCCCTCGAAGTTTTTTTATTCACCTATCAGGTTTTATTCCATTAAGAAGTGTTTACTGCTCGGCCTAGTATAGGAGTGACCGATACCGCGCCGGCAGAATTCTAGAAGGTTGTTTATATACCTGACAATATTCGAATCAGCAAACAACGTGTGTGTGGGTTCTTAGTGCGGTTTCTTGGCACGATTGATGAACTGTGACGCTGCAAAGTTACACTGATCCGCAAGGGTTTCTACCCCTTCATGGCGGGCCCTAAAGAAAACCCAAACAGTATCCTCGGTAACAATAGCCAAACGCATTTACGCACCACATGCACACCATCCATGCAGAATCTCACCTTCAACTTCTCCTTCTTTTGAATTCCGTCCGCGTCACGATTTGCAGAAATGCTATCTGCGCTAACTGTAGCGCTCAACCCAAAACCACTTTCACCCTCATGGGAGGTAGACTATTCTAACCTTGGCCCTCCATATCGACCTTCCTTCCTAAAGTGCACTTGATTTTTTTTTTGTTTACAGATAAGGAGACCGACGTGGTTCGCTTAGATGACAATGAAGGTAGGAAATTCAAATCGCATGGTTTATCACATCCCTTGTGGGATAGCTAGATGTATGAACATATCATGGATATAAAGCGACTGAAAAATCCCAACAGACAGGCGCTCCCTCAAGTTCTCGTTCACGGCCATTTCGCCAACAACACGACACGGGTTGGATCCACGGAGTTTCGTCGCTCATACGGCGGTTCTTCAATAAAAAGGTCAATACGTAGCTACGTACATCATCATAAACCAGTATATAATTGGATTTTCCTTAAGCCTCTCTCGGCTTCACAAATCCCTTCATATGACCCTCTTCAAAGAGTGGCACAAAGTAGTCTTTCCATCTCATATCTTCCTCCCTATATTATCGAAACACCAGTTAGTTTACTACCACATCCGCAACTTAACAAAAGGGAAACTCACGTCGTTCCATCCAGCGTAACCTCAAACCTTCTAAATAATCTGGCAAAGCCGATATACAGCTCTGCATATCCCAAACTGCACACCAAGCAATCAGTATACCATAAAGTCTAAAGAACCTGTATTATCTCACTTGATCCCCAAGCACTGTCTTGAACCCTTCGAAAATGGGACTAAATAGCGCTCGAGCTCCTTCCCGTTCGGCCCCATCCATCGCTCCGGGACGAAACTACCACTGTTAGGAAAGATATCCTCATTGGTATGTACCATCGTAGTGCCCATCGCTACCACAGCCCCTCCTGGAATCTGCTCTCCATTAATAACGGCGCCCGACTTTGGCACCTTCCGGTCTAGTAGAGATACTACGCCGCTACCCATCCGCAAGCTCTCTTTAATTACCGCGCTCTACACAGCTATCAGCATATTATTATACACGCTAGACAACCTCTATTCACGTACCAGAAACGGTAACCTTTCCAATTCCTCCAATGTTGGCGCCCTCTCCAATTCCGGCCACGCTTTTATCAACTCTTCTACCAGGTCTCCCTGTCTCCCACTCTTCAATAGCTGATATAAGCCCACAGTCATGGTCAGTGCAACCGTATCTGCTCCAGCAAACAGCATCGTATGCGCCTCATGCTCCAAAGCAGTCTGCGTGATAGGCGCCGCCCTCGCTCCCTTCGCGTCCGGGTCCAGCAGTCGGTTGTAGATAATCAGATGGGGCGTCTTATCTAGATCTGCGGGGTTCTTGAGAAAATTGGCAACCTGACTTTCGAGTCTACGGGAGAGGTCGATGAAGCCTGCCACCTCACCGAACATAAGTAGCGGCCGAGGGAAGTTAAGCACAATCCGCTGGATAAATGGGAAGTGTTTGAACACCTGGATCATACGCAGGGATGTGCGCATTCCGAGGAGGACGGGGGCTTTGAAGCCTGGCACATCGAGGGCGTGCATGGACTGTGCGAAACAAAAGGTCATGATGATATCGACAGTTGTGGAGCGGATTGCGCCAGAAATGTTGATTGGGGCGCTGCTGGTAGCGTTGTGTGCAGCGAGGCGAGTACAGAGGAGATCAAACTGACGATAATTTGGATTAGTTTTTCGTAGGCCAATGATTGAGACAAGTCAGGTATTTGTCTCGCGAATGATTTAAAGAAACTCACATTCTCCGCGAGTAGGCCCTGCATTGAGCTTATTGCGCGGTGGGAGAAAAGAGGGCTCAGGACATCGCGGCGCCCTTTGGCTGCTGATGGATCGATCATACCGAACACGGACTCAGAAGCGTTGAAGGAATTGTAGACCCAGCTGTCTTTGAGAAGTTTGCTATTGTTGGCATAGATTTCATGATATGCAGAAGGCTCACTGAAATGGAGCTAGAAATCAAAATGAGAGTCAGTAATGATTTCTCGTGAGGAATTTGTATCGTGGACACTCACATGATTTGGGCCAATTCTTACGATCCGTCCTTTTAAAGTAATGTTTATTATATCAGTCATTTGCCATTTCTACTAACTCAACACCGTACTACATACCATATTTTTTATGCAAGACCGCTATCTGTCGGGGCATCTCGCCCTGCATCCAGACATCATAATAGGACCTGTACCAGCCTGTCGCTGCTGCCTTCTTGGGACCTGGAAATTTCGCCAGTGGGTGGAAGAAAACTCGATATATCACTAATGCAACGTAATAAAGCACAATTGCTGGCGGGATGAGATAAGCCCCATATGTGACGAGGAGAGAGCGAGGGCCGCCTTGAGGCTCCATGTTTTTTTCTCCTTTTTATAAGATTTGGGAGGTAGTTGATGTTTGAGAAAGTTGCCGTTAAATCTGATCTGGGCAGAGAGGGTCCACGCTGGCTTTTTATATTTCGTGACTATGGTGCCAGAATCATGGCAAAGGGTCTGGCCCGGCCCATCAAAGTAAAACTCGCGCTTAACTGATTACTATTAGGGCAACTATATACACACATGAATCCTTGGCATTACTACAATTTGTATACCACTTTCCCCCCAGCTTGCTGCCTGCGTATGTCGAACCTCGGTGCCCGCAAGCGATTGGTCAATGCTCGGCTGACATCCTAGAACCGTGTCCTGGAAGGGTATAGTGGCGGCAGGTCGCGGCGGAAAAGTGCGATGGTGTGCAGAAAGGGAGTGCTGAATGCCTACTGATAATCTGCAGCTGGTAGTGAAAAGGTCGAGTGGATGTCTTGCATCTATTCCCGAGCTCCGCGATATCTCGGAGGTGTGCGTACTGGCTTTGCTGATTAGTAGCAGACTTTGAATGGTTCACTGAGAGATGCAAACTTCTAGTAATTCGGCCGGTAGATGTCGATATCCAGAGGATTAACTCTCAACATAACACCTGACAATTCTTATCGGCCGTGAAGTATATGTATGTATTTAATTATAATAGATACTGGCTGGTAGGGCTGTAATATACTTTGATATAATGTATACTGGCTGACAAAGTACGCGTGCGCTTTACGTAGAGTACTAAATAGATTAAAGACGAGGTCTCAAGAATAATCAAACGCACCTCATTCACATACCTAGCTTCCCCTCTTAGATCAGTAGAGTACAATGTATGTAGACTTTACTGGCATTTAGATATCCCGATCTTTCAGATCGGCTGGATATCGTAGATCCGTTGTCCAGGCTATACTTTATTCAGAGCAAGGTACATGCACATATATCCGGATTTTTAAACTCTGTAGTTAAGCGCCTTGCGCCTGCCTTATTGTAATCATCATGGATCAGCGGTGAAACACGAGTATTGGTTGGTACAGCCCCCATGGGTCCTACTAATATTGTGAAGATACGGCGCGGGGCTAATTGGTACTTACCGCATTGGCGAGATGAGACTCGTAATAATGTTATATGTACAAGGGTATATGCCTTGATAATTTCCTGGTTTACCTGCTGCTTCTGGTGTTTGTGTCCTCGTCAGGATGGAGGCGAGAAACCTTATTCTGATGTTCTCGACGTCAGCACTTCTTCACTGACTAGGAAAGAGAACATATCAGCAGGAAGTTGTTTCTCAAGGTTTGGAGTGTGATCACGGTGATAATGATCATATCGTATTGTAGCGTGGGCTTATGACTGATAATACCTCAATCAAGTTCTACAAAATCTTCCCTTCAGGACTCGAACCGGACCATTAGGGTTTTAGTTCGGTATATTAATCAAGTTAGCCAGCTGAGCTGATATCGGGCTGGCTTGAGGTGTTTTCTAAACCGATAATCGAGGTGATCTGTAATTCAATAAGAGCTTGAGTACCTACCTATTGTGCTCCTTCAAATGTGTTAGTTTGGGTTCGTTTAAGAGGATGGTAGTCCAACTATTCCGCTTGTCTCGGCATGGGGGTGCATGATTAGAAATTTCGGACTCAGCCTTGAAGACGTAGTTTGTCTCTTAAATGCCTGCTGATCATGATTTTTACCAGGTAATGATACCTTTGATCTGGCTTAGGACCAGATATATACTCGGGGCAGGTAAGAAATACCGGACAGTGCAGGTTTTTGGTTCACCAATGGGTGCGCGTGCTAGGCGTGAACT